GGCCTCCCCGGAGCCCACGCCCCTCCGCTGAGCCTCCCAGGGGCCCACGAAAGTGGCGACAATCTCGCAGATCGCAGCCGCCCAGGGACGGCGAGGTCTCATGGTGGTCCCCGTAAGACACCCTTCCGCTGGACCCGCCAGGAGCCCGCGAAAGTGGCGGCAATTTCGCAGATCGCAGCCACCACATGAACGGCGAGGTCCCATGGTGGTCCCCGAAAGACACCCCTCCGTTGGACCTCCCAGGAGCCCCCGAAAGTGGCGACAGTCTTGCTGGTCGCAGTCACCCAGGGACGGCGAGGTCTCATGGTGGTCCGCGTCGGACACCCCACCACTGGGCCTCTCAGGAGCCCGCGAAAGTCGCGGCCGTCTTGCAAATCGCAGCCACCCAGGGGACGGCGAGCCACACGTGTGATCTGCGTAAGACGCACCCTCCGCTGGACCTCGCAAGAGCCCACGAAAGTGGCGACGGTTTCGCTGATCGCAGCCACCCACTGGACGGCGAGGTTTCAAAGTGGTCCCCGTCAGACACCCCTCCGCTGGGCCTGCCAAGAGCACACGAAAGTGGCGACATTTTCGCAGATCGCCCCCCTCCCCCCCCCAGGGACAGCGAGGTCTCACGGTGGACACCCTTCCGCCGACCTCCCACGAGCCCACGAAAGAGGCGACATTTCTGCAGATCGCGGCCCCCCCCCCCAGGGACGGCGAGGTCTCATGGTGGTCCCCGCAAGACACCCCTCCGCTCCCAGGAGCCCACGAAAGTGGCGAAAGTTTTGCAGATCGCAGCCATCTAGGGACGGCGAGGCCCCATGGCGATGCTGCACAGGAGGGCGAAGCACCCGTCCCGGAGCCCGACATGCGTGGATACTCGGTGCAAGAGACCCCCCCCCCAGACCCGCGGGAACGCCTTCTGGAGGTCGCCGGAGACGGCCCACAAAGCCCTGCGCTGGTCCACCGCTCGCGAGGCCAGTTCATGGAGCAGGAGCTGGGCGCCCCCGACATCGCGGACATAGCCGCTCTGGCCGGGGAGAACCGAGGACTGCACCTTGGGCTTTGCCCGCTGGCACAGAATGGTTTCCTGGGGGGCCGAACTGCGTCTTGACCATGCTCGGCCGGAAGCTCTCGATCCCCTAGCTCCGGGGGGCCTGCCTTGTGAAGGGGGACTGCTCAGAGGCTCCGCCACCCCCGCGGCCGCGTGGCCAGGGAGCTAGGGCCCGCGACAAGCATGATGAGCCAGACCAGCGTGTCGAGAGGGGCGCGCGACAGCTGGAGGATGAGGCGGGGAAGCAAGTCTGGCGCGGTCGCGTCCGCGGTGGACCACCCCGCCACGACGCCCTGGACTTCGTTCTGGACAATGGGCCCGTCAAGTTCTCCACGCCCGCGACGCGCCCAGGCCCTCCCTGCCTGACGCCGCGCCACGCCCTGGACAATGTCGCGCCTCTGCGCGCCCCACTCGCCTGGCCACCGCGACTGCCCCCGCATCCGCGCGCGCCATGCTGCTTGCGAGTCCGCCGGCGAGAGGGCCACCTCCCCTACCTTCTAGGCGCGGTGCCGGCTGGATCGCAGCAGGCTCCAGGACCTGGAGGCAGCGGGCAACCTTGTCCGCAGGCGCGCCCCCCTCTTCCAGGGCCGCCTGGATCTGGTTGCCCAGCGGCCGCTGCGACCCCTTGCCCCCTGCAAGCTACCTCCGGCGGCGAGAGCCGGCATCTGCAGGGGCCGCCCGCCCCGACATGGCAAGAGCCAGGGTGATGTGGAGCAGCCGCGCCAAGGCATCGCAGAGCCACTGCGCAGCCGCCCGATTCAGCCTGGCCCCGTACACCCCTCGACCTTGCCCCGTGCAAACCGACCGTAGGAGGCCCCCCAGACACCGGAACGCCCCCGCCGACGCCGCCAACCCTGATGCCCAGGCGGGCCCGTCCAGCCACCAGCGGGGCATCCGCGGCGCACCCCCCGCTCTGCGACCTGCGTGGACTGCCAGGGGAGCCTGCACTTCAATAAAGAAGTGGTCCCCCAACGTGTAGTCGACGCACTCCGGCCACCGGCGGGGTTCTCCTGCAGAGCAACGCAGCCCATTGCGCACGACCGCCGGCCCCGCCGCCGGCGGGGACGAAACAACCGCATCAATGCACCGCGGGGCGCCGCCGTGGCGCGTGTCACCCGGACGGAGAGGGGCCGCTTTGCCCCTGCGCGGAAGCCAAACCGCTGTCCGTGGGCCCTGACCCACTTGGGGATTAAGGTGCGCAAGACCCCAGAAAAATTGCCCATCGCCTGTCCCTCGACCTGGCCGGCCCCCGGTCTCCTCCATGGCCGCGGGTTGCATATTGATGTCACCCATAAGGACTATAGGGATGGAGAGGGGCGCCCCTGGGCTCCCACCGCAGACCTCTTTGATGTCCTCGCTGAGCCCCTCCAGCTGGGCGTGCCATTCAACATCGCAGCCTGACTTGGGCGGGGGGGGGTAGGTAGAGGGTGCAAATGCACCAGGCGACGCCGCCCGCGTCTCGGCGGGTGGCCCAGAGACACCTCGACCACTTCCCTCAGCTCGGGGAGCTGCGCCTTGTCCCAGACCACTGCTGCCGAGGCGTATGACGGGCCCCCTCTGGCTACGACCCCCATCCATGGCAGCTGCGGAACTTTGACCCCCCGTGCCAGACGCGCCCCCGGGAGCCCGACGAGCGCCACCTGGAGGTGATCAAAGGCGGAAGCGATGCCCACCTCTCGATCTGCGAAGAGATGCCGCCAGACCGTCTTGCCGTCCACACTTGTCCACCCCAGCGTATACTGGGCGAGCCCACCCCCAGGGACACTCGGAAAGTCCCGTGCTTTTCACGGACCGGCAGTGCCACTGTGGCGCGGGGGGGCGCGGGGAGAACACCCTCGCGCTGCGCCCACCGCAGGGGCGAGCGGATGCGCTGCACCTCCTGCGCGTTCGGTAAGGCACCACCCAGCAGCCCCGCCTGCTGTTCCAGTGCATGCCCCTCCTGCCTCAGCGCTGCCCAGCGGCGCCCAATCAGGGCATCCGCCTCGTCGTCACCTGTAGGCCCCAGACCCCGTCCACGAGGAAACTCCGCGAGGAGCGCGGCCAGGGCAGCTTCCACGCCCGCGTCCGATTTCGCCCCGCCGGACCTCAGATGCGCCAAGTTCTACGGACAGGGCCAGGGTCGCGGGTCGGCGGCGCAATCCTGCCCCCACCCTCCGCGGGGAGCCTGCGATCCTACCGCCTGGGGCGGGCGCCGGTTCCGCGAAGGACGGGCCCCCTCCAGAACACGCCCCATCCGCGACCCGGCGAGAAGCAGCTGAGAGGGAGCGGGAGGGCGGCGCCCCATCCCAGCACACCTCACCAAACTGGCTCCCGCTTGTGCTTGGGAAAAAGCGAACAGGAGGGAGGGGGAGGAGGAGGAGGAGGAGGAGGAGGAGGAGGAAGACGGGAGCAGGAGGAGGAGGAAGGAGAAGACGGAAGGGAAGGGGAAAAAAGGAAGGGAAGGGCCGCCAGGGAAGAGGACCTGAGCCTGGGCCAGGGCTCCTCTGGCACAGCCCCTCGCTCGAAGCAACCCCCGCACCCAACAGAGAACACCCGGGACCGCCAGAACGGATCCGACACCTGCCCCAGGCCGGGGCGGACCCCGCGGAAGAGGGGCACACAGCGGCCCCCAAGGGCCCACGCAAAGGCCCCGCCGCACCAGGAACAACCCCCGGCCCGGCCGCGGCGACGAGGGATGGGCGCAGACGAACAAAGAGAGACCCCCAGGAACCCCCCAGACCGGGGCAGCACGCCGGAACACGAAGCCGGCCCAGCCGTAGCGACGAGGGAGCCCGCACAGCCACCCCCCTCCCGAAGCCCAAGAAAAAGCCCCCAGGCGACGCCTCCACCTCCGCCACCCCGCCCACCGCCCCGCCCCCACCACCCCGCACCCCCCTCCTCCTTCCGAGGCAAGGCTGGCGCCCCGCCAGGAGGCACCGCGCCTCCGCCCCCTCGAGGGCGCAGGGAGGAGGAGGGGGAGGAGGACGACCGCGACGCCAACGACGACGACGGCAGCGACGACGGCGGCGGCGGCGGCGGCGGCGAGGGGAGGGGGAGCAGCGGCCCCCGCATCCGCGAAAGGGCCCAAAACCCTAGGCGGGAGTACGTCCGCACTGCGCAAGTGCGGACGCACTCCCGCTTGAGATTTGGGCGCCCCCCACGCGCGGACAGCCCGCCCCGCCACTGCCGCCGCCCCCCCCACGGCCATCCCGGCGCGGCCTGCGCCCTCCCCAGCAGGCGCCGCGCCCCCGGCCCCACCGCGGAGGCTAAGAGAGGGGAAATGCCGGCGACTAAGACGACGACGACACCGACGACGACGACAGCGACGACGACGACGACGACGCCGACGACAACGGCGGCGACGGCGGCTGCAGCGGCGGCGAAGGGAAGGGCAGCACCGGCCCCCGCACGTGCGGAAGGGCCAAAACCCGAGGCGGGAGTATGTCCGCACCGCGCAAGTGCGGACACACTCACGCTCGAGGTTTGGGCGCCCCCCACGCGCGGGCGGACCTCGGGCGGTCCGCCCCGCCCCCGCCGCCATCCCCCCACGGCCATTCCCCGCGCGGCCGGCGTCCTCTCCAGGAGGCACCGCGCCACCGCCCCCACCGCGGGGAGCAAGGAAGATGGGGGAAAAGCCGACGACGACGACGACGACGACGACGACGACGACGACGACGACGACGACAACGACGGCGGCGGCGGCGGCGGCGGTGGCGGAGGGGGGAGAGCAGCGGCCCCCGCCCCCGCGGAAGGGCCCAAAACCCGAGGCGGGAGCATGTCCGCACCGCGCAAGTGCGGACACACTCCCGCCCGAGGTTCGGGCGCCCCCCCCGCGCGCAGAGCAGTTCTCCCGCGGCGGAGGCGCCCCCCACCTAGCCCCCTGCGCGCCCCCCCCTGGCGCTCTAGGCCACCGCGCGTGCCTAGACTGCGTCTGCCTCCTGCTCAGCGCGGCCCCTCTTCGGCCCCCTGGGCCTCTTGCCTAGCCTGTAGGCGAGGGCCGCGCTCAACGGCCTGGAGGCCCGGGCGTGGATCCTGGCAGTCCCACACACCCACGTTTGGAGCACCTTGAGAAAGGCACATACGTTGGCCTGGACTGCGCACCACTGGATCCTGGACCTCAGCGGGAACCGGACTTCCCCATCCGGGCCCTTGTAGACCACGCTCGCCGGGCACAGCTGGGCCACCGCAGCCTGCAGCTGCTTCAGGCCCGCCTCGTCCGACTCGGCGGCGCAGCCCGTGAGCTCCAGCACCGCGCGCGCGTTGGTGCCTACCTCTAGGAATGCGAGGACGCCAGGGCGCGTCCAGGGCAAGCGCCTCTTGCCCGAGTCCATGATGTGGAGGTACTCTGCGAGGTGCACTCTGTTGAGCTCCCCACGCTGCGGAAGGTCCTGGAGCACCACGGCCGCAGCAAGCGGCGCCTGGGCCTCCGCCAGGCGCCGGATGGGTTCATCGGGCGCGCCCTGCCAGAAAGGACCGCCAGGGTGTTTACGAGGGCCCCGAGGCGAGTCGTGCTCGCGCGGATAGTCCCTCGATCGCCTAGGAGGGTGCCGTGAGTCATGACCACGCCCCCGTAGAGCTGCGCGAGGTTCCCCAGCCCCCTGAGCGCGAACGAGGTGTCCAGCATCCAGGAAAGGAGAACCTTGGACCGCGTGGCGAGGGCCAGGACAGCCGTAGCCAAGGCCGAGCCCCATGGTGCATCGGGAGGCAGGCTCTCCCACCATTGCACCAACATCTTGGTCAGGGCGTCCCCCCTGAAGGGTTTACGACGTTTGAAAAGAGGGCGCGTGTGTGTGTGGACAGCCCTGCCGACTCGAAAGTCAGACGCCCCTGCTGCCCTGGTGGGGCGCCCTGCTCCTGAACCCTGCGGAGCGGATTCTCGGCTCCAAGGTAAGACTCGTAACTGGCTGTAGAGAACCCCGACCCGCTGAGCTGGGCGACTTCTGCGCGCGCGCCCGCGCCCCGGTGGGCAAGGTATGTAGCGAAGAGCTCTAGAACTCTCTCTTGCGGGTTCCTGACGGGCTCGATGCGCCTTGCGAGCAGGCCCACCGCATGCAGAACCGCGCGCGCCCGGGCCCCATCCCGGACATGGTGGCTCTTGAGGTCGAGGAAGCCCGCGAGATGTTTACTGCGCTTTGCGGCGTTCCTGCCCCAGGCCGGGGCGGGCCCAGCGTCGAGGAGCTCCCGGAGAAGCTTCGTGTCGAAGGGCACGCCTCGCTCAGGGGGGCGCCCCTCGCCCCGCGGGCGTCGGAGCCGGACGGCCGCGGATGGGGGGGGCGGGGGGTGGGGCCAAGGGGAGAGCCCACATGGACTCAAGGGCGACCTCGGCAGGAATGCCCGAGGGACACGGAGGACTGCCAGCACCCGACCCCCGGACCCCGCAGCGCCCCCGGATCCCTCCTGGGGGCCAACGACCAGCCCTGCAGCCACGTCCGGCCACGGCGACGAGGAAGCCCCAAGAGCCGGAGAACCAAGCAGCAAGGCAGCCCCCGCGAAGACACCCGCACGCAACACCCCGGGGGAGGGAATCAGGGCTCCAAAGGGAGAGGCCCTCTGGGGCACCCCCCCTCTTCCATCGACTTTGGAACTCAGAGGCGTCGGAGTGGGGCGTCGCTTGACAGCATCTGCTCTCGCCCACCTACGGGGGGGCCCCCCCCCCGGGCCTGCGCGCGCGCCTGGCGAGCAGGGGAGGGGGAGGGAGAGGGGGGGGCGGGGGAGAGGCAGGAGAGGGGGGGCCGGAGAGCGGAGGAGGGGGGGGGAGGAGGAGAAGGGAGGAGCAGCAAGGGCAGCAGGGTAAGAGGGGGAGAATTCCTCGGGCTCCTCCGCGCTGTGCACCACACCTGCACATCAGAATGCTCTCTGCGCGCGGGGGAACCGGATCCCTCCCTATGCTTCTGGGAAAGGCCCCAGAACCCCCCGCGCACGAGTGCGCCCGCGCACCGCAGATGCGGACTCACTCCCGCGCTGGGCTTCTCAGGCACTTCCCCAGCGCGCGGGGGGGTCCAGAGGGGCGGCCGAAGAGGGCGCGGAAGAGCATCGCCCGCCCCAGCACACCTCGCCAGGCGCAGCCCCACCCCAACTAAAACCAGAATTCCTCCCAGGCGCCTGGGAGGGGCCCCCTAACGCCCCGAGCGGGAGTGCGTCCGCCACGCCGGCATGCGGACTCACTCCCGCCCTGGGCTCGGCACGGCACCCCTCTCAAACGCGCCGGGAGACCGGCGAGATTGGCGGGGAGAGCGCTGTGGGGCATCGCTCGTCCCAGTACACCTCACCCGACCCATCCCCCGCCTCAAGGTAGCCCCTGACCTCCAACGGCATCTGCGGGAACCCCCCTACCGCGTGGGATCTAGCGGAGACAGCACCCCCACCCCCCCACCCCACGCACGAAACACACCCCAAAGACGCACGCCACCACCCACGGCCCCCAGACCCAGAACGCTGGATCCCACCCACGGGAGGCTCTCAGAAACCTGGGGCGGGCCCCTGGCGAGGGGGGGCGGGGGGAAGAGCGGCGGGACTCGCGCGCCACCACTCGCTCAAGCCCCCCCGGCCCGCCCCAACACCCGACGCAGACATGTTGTGGCCGGTGTTTCCCCATGCTGTTCGTCGGCGGCGCAAGGCGAGACAAGTGCCACGGCGACCTAAGGAGAGGAGATTGGCCGCAAAAAGCGCCAGGGAAGCGACGTAAAGCACGCAAGCAGAGTGCGCGGAGGTACCCAGCTTACGTGGGTCTTCGGCCGCCCTTTTAACCAAGACCGCCGGTTAAGCCGCTCATGCGCAGGGCGCACGGGTAAAGGGCCCAATGAAACGTCATATGAACCGCACCCCAAACGGGTCAACGTTAAATGCATTGTCGACTGGCTGGCGCCCCCAGTACTACTAACCGATGATGGGAGCCCATCCTGACCCCCTACCGCACGCTACCTCTCCCCTAACGCTTGCGGGGGGGAAAGCGACTGCGGTCCATGTGGGCCCGGGGCAGTGGCTCAGCAGTCGGCAGAGAGGGAGGCACCCCTCCACTGTATGAGGTGGTACACTTAAGGATCTTGGACAAAATCCTCTCTCTCTGCTCGGGATTCGCGCGGATGCAGACCTTACCATTCGAGGTGTGGAAAATGTGGACCGCTCCCCTTGTGTCCAAATTGGAGCAGCAAGCCGTAGGGGGGCCCTCTTTCGGAAGATGGGACCAGGTCGCTCCCGGGTGGTTCATGAGGGGGTCGTGCGGAGGCCACGTGCCAGCCCACAAGAGGATGTGCATGTCACTCGGAAGAGATCCGTCTGGCAAGAGCCGCGCGACACGGGTGTAGCGCTCTTTCTGCGGGGCCGGGACACCGCCACCGGGCTGCTGGAGGCTGTCGTAGTACGACAGGAACATCTGGGACTCGGGCGCCTGGGGCGCTGCGCTCTGCCCCCCGCCTGGGCCTACTGGATGCCCCACCCCAGCCGGCTGCTCAGTCCACCCCGTCTGGGGCGTCCACTGCCACTGGCCAGCCGGGGGCAGGACTTCGGTCGGTGCACTCACGCCTGCCGCCCAGCCTCCCGTCGCCGGGCCGGGCGGGCCTGCCGCTGCCATCCCTCCTGAAGCGCCCCACGTGCCGCCCATGCCCCCGACGCCCGCCGGCCAGCCGCCCATGCCCCTCATTCCGCCCGCACCCGCGTGCGTCCCGCCTGAGGGACCCCCCGTGCCGCCCAGGGGAGGGAGGAGGGGGAAGAAAACGAGGAGGAGAAAGGAGGAAAGGAGGAGGAGGAGGAGGAGGAGTGAATGATGGAGACAACGGTGCTCCATTCAAAGCGAATACCCAACCAAGGGAGGGTTGGGACGAATGATGCTGAAAATACGAATGGCAAATATGACAAAAATGAACAGATTGATAATCATTGTTTAATACTTAACAAAATACGAATCAGAATCCGCCGGCCCCCTTGTGGGGCCACCAGGCTGCGAGGCGCGGGTTCGCAGTTTCCAGTACCAGTTGTAGCTTGTAGTTTCCAGTGTTACAATTCTGTTTCTTGCTGGTTACTGTAACTAGTTGATTGACCGCGCGAGGGGGGGGGAGGCCCAAACCAGATTTTTAGCGTCTCCTGGGCGCGTTGTCTGAATTGCTGGGGGGGCTCGAAATCGACACCCCTCACGCAGATCCGCGGGGTCAGGGTCCAAAAACACAAGGGATTTGCCACATTTCTGAAATTCGGTGCCACCCCTCACGCAGATCCGCGGGGTCAGGGTCCAAAAACACAAGGGATTTGCCACATTTCTGAAATTCGGTGCCACCCCTCACGCAGATCCGCGGGGTCAGGGTCCAAAAACACACGGGATTTGCCACATTTCTGAAATTCGGTGCCACCCCTCACGCAGATCCGCGGGGTCAGGGTCCAAAAACACAGGGGATTTGCCACATTTCTGAAATTCGGTGCCACCCCTCACGCAGATCCGCGGGGTCAGGGTCCAAAAACACAAGGGATTTGCCACATTTCTGAAATTCGGTGCCACCCCTCACGCAGATCCGCGGGGTCAGGGTCCAAAAACACATGGGATTTGCCACATTTCTGAAATTCGGTGCCACCCCTCACGCAGATCCGCGGGGTCAGGGTCCAAAAACACAAGGGATTTGCCACATTTCTGAAATTCGGTGCCACCCCTCACGCAGATCCGCGGGGTCAGGGTCCAAAAACACATGGGATTTGCCACATTTCTGAAATTCGGTGCCACCCCTCACGCAGATCCGCGGGGTCAGGGTCCAAAAACACACGGGATTTGCCACATTTCTGAAATTCGGTGCCACCCCTCACGCAGATCCGCAGGTCAGGGTTCAAAAACATATGGGATTTGCACATTTCTGGAATTCGGTGCCACCCCTCATGCAGATCCGCGGGTCAGGGTTCAAAAACACAGGGGATTTGCCACATTTCTGAAATTCGGTGCCACCCCTCACGCAGATCCGCGGGGTCAGGGTCCAAAAACACAAGGGATTTGCCACATTTCTGAAATTCGGTGCCACCCCTCACGCAGATCCGCGGGGTCAGGGTCCAAAAACACAGGGGATTTGCCACATTTCTGAAATTCGGTGCCACCCCTCACGCAGATCCGCGGGGTCAGGGTCCAAAAACACAGGGGATTTGGCACATTTCTGAAATTCGGTGCCACCCTTCACGCACATCCATCGCAAGGCGTGGTAACCCAAACTGCGAGAACTCCCTCGGCCCTTTAATCGCAAGGTGTGGTAACCAAGCCCGTAAACCATACACGTCTTACCAATCGCCAGGTGTGGTAACCCCTCTTGTGATCAGTTGGTTTTGCTGATTGCGAATCGGCTTCGCATGAAGTTTCGATACTGCTTCACGACAGCGCCAAGGCCTCATGACTTAGCTCTTCCATGGCCCATTCTCCGAGAGAGGGGGCCGGCGGCAGGGGGCGAAGCCCTTACGGATAATAGTAATGATACTTGTATCCTTAACACTAACAAGAACCACAACAATAATAGTATGCTACCACGAATACGAGAAATAATACGAATACGAATTCGAGTACCAAGACTAATACGAATACGAATACTAATACTGATTTTATAACTAGCACTACTACTAATACCGATGCCAATCTGAAGACGAATACGAATACGAATGCGAATGCTGATACTAAGATGGTACACTACTGCAAACACAAATAGAAAATAACGAAAATGAAAAATAAGAATAAGAATCATCACGATAAGAATAAAACGAATCATAATAGTAGTGGTGACGATCAAGAGAATGATGATGATACTAATATTATTCTTATGTTTCATCATTCCCCTCCCCCTCTTCCTCCTCCTCCTCCTGCTCCTCCTCGTCCTCCCCACTCCCTCCTCCCCCCCTCCTCCCTCGGGAGACTCTTCATGGGGGGGGATCCCATGGGGGGATAGGATCCGAGGGGGGGGATCCCATAGGATCCCCTGGGGATCCCATGGGGGGGCAGGAGGGGATCCCATGGGGAGGATCACCTCCTGCCCCCCCATGGGATCCCCCCCCCCCCCATGGAGAGTCTCCCGACTCCCCCCCCTCCGCCAGCCCGGCGGGGGGCAAAGCCGCGCGGATCTGGCCGTTCAGAGTGTCCACGACCCCCTCGGCGGCACCCCCCGGCGGCACTGGGAGGCGCCGAAGCAGCCCGCGGCCGGACAGCTGGTTCCCAGAAACGTCGACGCTGCTGTCGTCGCCGCCACCGACGCCGCCGTCGTCGCAGTCGCCCTCCTCCTCCGCATCCTCCGCCTCCGCCTCCGCCTCCGCCTCCGCCTCCACCGCCTCCTCCTCCTCCACCTCCTCCTCCTCCTCCTCCACCTCCTCCTCCTCCACCTCCTCCTCCTCTTAGTAACCTTCTTCGTCTTAGTATTATTAATCTTCTTATTCTTAATACTATTCTTCTTAGTATGATTGATCATACTCTTCTTAGCATTATTACTCGTCTTATTGATATCATTGATAAATTTCAAGTGTTGGTATTATTACGCGTATTGTTATTATTATTAGCTGTAGTGGTAGTCGTATTATTATTACTGCTACTGCTGCTACTACTACTACTACTCCTACTACTACTACTACTACTACTACTACTCCTACTACTACTACTACTACTACTACTACTACTACTACTACTACTACTACTACTACTACTACTACTACTACTACTACTATTACTACTATCGTTAATCGTATTAGTAGTAGTCTTATTGATAGTATGTTTCGTCTTATCCTTCTTCTTAACAAGTATTCTTGATATCCGTATTATTAGTAGTACGTGTAATATCATGATTAATCGTCTGAGTTGTGTTAGTATTAGGATTATTGTTACTAGTATGATTCTTCATTGTCGTATTAGTATTGTTATGTTTAGTGTGATTATTAGGTTCCGCATTCTTATTATTGGTGACATTATTCTTGATATGCGTATAAGTGTTCCTCTTATCAGTCTTATTAATCGTGTTCGCACGCTTCTTATTCGCATCATTACTCTTCCTCTTCTGTTCACTAGTAAGACCTTTCGTAAACTATGTTTCCCCCTGGTAATCGTACGAGTATGCGTTATGTTTCTTATGCGTGTTCGCCTCATTGTTCTTATTTTCAATAGTTGTACAGAGCAGTCTTTAGTATAGCAGTTTTTCTTTTAAACACAAAAAAGAGAAGACATACAGGATCTTGAATACATGACTAATGTATTCTGTCCTCCTCCTCCTCCTCCTCCTCCTCCTCCTCCTCCTCCCTCCCTCCCTCCCTCCCTCCCCCCCCTCCCTCCCCCCCCCCTCCCTCACTCCCCCCCCTCCCCCCTCCCCCTCCCCCCCTCCCCCCCTCCTTTCCCCTTCCACCTCCCTCCCTCCTCCCTCCACCCTCCCCCCTCCTCCGTCCTCCCTCCTCCTTTTCCTCCTTCGCATACTCCTCCTCCTCCTCCTTCTCCTCCTGTACCTCCTGTTCCTCCTGCTCCTCCTGATCCTCCTGCTCCTCCTGCTGCTCCTCCTCCTCCTACTCCTCTTCCTCCTCCTCCTCCTGCTCCTCCTGCTCCTCCTGCTCCTCCTGCTCCTCCTGCTCCTCCCGCTCCTCCTGCTCCTGCTCCTCCTCCTGCTCCTCCTCCTCCTGCTCCTCCTCCTCCTCATCATCATCATCACCACCACCACCACCACCACCATCATCATCATCATCATCATCCTCATCAGCAGCAGCAGCAGCAGCAGCACCATCATCATCCTCATCCTCATGCTCATCCTCATGCTCCTCCTCCTCCTCTTCCTCCTCCGCCTCCTCTTCCTCCTCCTTCTGTTCCTGCTGTTCGTGTTCCTGTGCCTGCTCTTCATCCTCCTGTTCCTCCTCCTCATCCTCCATCCATTGTCCCTTTCAATAATTCCTCCCTGTTGCACCCCCGAACGTGTCGATAGGGCAGGCCGGGCGTGTCGCATGAGACTTCCTCACCACTAGTGATCCTGAATATTCAATAGTTTCAAACTGGTTTACAACATGTGGCTCTCGCCTTAACGCCGCGCTCATTCGTCCTAAAAGCGTGCCACAGGTTTGAAGACGGAGGGTAGCCCGTCTTCAACATGTGGATTTCGTTTTTGCGACCATCGTATTCATGCTAAAAGATTTCAATCGGTTCAATGAAGGGGGCGGCTGCTGTTCAAAATGTTGTTCTGGCCTTTGCGCCGCTTGCTTTGAAAGTCTGCAACAGCTTCAAGGACGAAGGGCGGTCCCTTTCCTAAGTGTAAGTATCGCTTGGCCGCCGCGCACATTGGCCGTAAAATGCTGCAGTTGCTCAAGGGGTTCTAGGCGGCGAGCGAGGGGGGGAAGTGAGAAGGGGCGGGCCTTCTCAGAAGGCTCGGAAGTCTCCAAGCCTCCTGAGAAATTTCCCTAGCCTTCCCCGAAGATAGCGAAAACTTCTCAGAAGACGCGAGGGCTTCTGAGAAGTGAGGCCGCCTTCTGAGAAGGCCTTCTAACTTCTCACTTCCCCCCCTCGCTCGCCGCCGAGGTTCGTATGGCTGAAGTCCCGTAATGGCCTTCTGGCACGATTTAGGATTGTCAGGACACACCAGTCACGTGGATTCGCGGCGTCGAAGACCCAGGAACGGTTCCTGGCACAACTTGGGATTGTGAGTACACACAAATCACGCTGATTCGCGGCGTTGAGGTCCCGGGAATTGTATTGGCGCGATTGGGAACTCCCAGACAGTTGTCCTCCAATGGGACAGTTCCCGCAGTGGGAATAAATCCTCCAGGGGCCTACGGAGAGGGAACTAGGAGAGAGGGGGTTTATTGAACACTGGTCCGCCTCCTTCTCCCCATCCTTCTCCCCATCCTCTTCTCCTCCTTGAGGTTATCGAGGGGGAGGAGGAAAGACGAGGAGAAAAAAAGAGAGGAGGAGGAGGAGGGGGAGGAGGAGGGGGAGGAGGAGGAGGACGTCATCATCAGACCATGGTCCACAATCTCCCCAATGTTGTTTTACTGTCCCGGGGGGGGCCCGACCGCGCCTCCATGGGGGAAGCGGCCAAGTTCGAACCCCATTACCGTCATTGCCTCCATGCTTCCGGAGGAGGACGACGACCACCATCACCACCTCCACCACGACGACAACGAGGATTCGGTGGAGATGGACGATGACGAGGAGAAGACGAGGAGTAGGAGGAAAATAGGCATGAGAACGATGAGGACGAGGAGGAAAGGAGGGAGGAGGAGAGGGAGGAGCAGGAGGAGAGGGAAGCGGACGAAAACGATGAAATCTTTGACTGACAACAACCCACAGGGAAGACGACGAAGACGAGTAACATTTTGACTGACAAGAACCCACCGCAGCCGTGCAGACCAGAGGTTTGAAAAACACTGCCGACGACGGGGGCTCTATCAGAGTAGCCCGAGTCGCAGGTTTCGGGAAGCCCGCAAGCCCTTCCAAGAAGGCCGACTGTGCCTAGAAAACAAAAAAATGAGATGGCTCCTGCCCCGACCACCCCGCCTGAAGGACCTCTGCGAGCCGTAAGGCAGGACCGAAGGGGGCGACAGTTCAGCCCACAATGGAAGACACGTACTGTGCGTGTCCTCCCTGAAACAAAATAACGTCCAACGGTATTCGTCGGACTGGGCAGACACAGCTGCCGAAACGCCCACAGGGCGCAGGGGAGCTCGCGAGCCCCCCCCCCCGAAAGTAAACAAACGCGTCCACCGCTGGACGACGCACCTGGTAGTAGGAAAGGAGCTGCCAGCACTGCCCACAGGGCCGAGAGTACCAAGGCCACCGAGCTGCCAGCTCAGGGCCTAGGGGACACAGGCCCAGACCGAGCCATGCCCCCCTCGCCACAAGCTTGACCCACGTTCAGCGCGGCCAATCCGAACAAGAGGCAGCCTGGGCAATACCGTCCGTGGATACAACACCACGGACGGCACGAGAAGTGAGGGGTGAAACGTAAAAGCGAAGTCCTGCCTGGCACCGCCAGGGCAGGGCTACCCCTCTAGAGGAAGCTGCCGCTGCGGGCGGCGGTCAAACAGGCCGCCAGCGTTCCCTGAGCACCGGTGTCAGCAGAGCTGCCATTCCCATCGCCCGACTTGCCAGCTTGGGAGGGCCCGACATTCCGAGACGCCTCTTTGGCCTGGGTGCGAGATACCATAGAAAGCATCACAAGCGTCTGGATCAAACCCTCGGGACCCTGAGTCGGCAGCGCAACCTCTGGTGGCGGAGGGGTGACCAGCGCGAGTAGTGGACCCCTCGCCGCTACGATGAGGCTACACGCTCGTTCTCACTTCTGCAGTGAGGGCGCAAACCTGCCAAAATACGGGGCAACGCAGTCTTCGCACCTCGATACTAAAACCTCGACATACCTGGCCGAGTTTGAAGCGGCGGCGCGAAGTATAGGCGCCGCGCGTAGCTATACATAGATCTCACATATATCGAAACACATATGTATATATATGTATATATATACACCATACATACATCTAAACAAAAAAGTTATCTTGTCGCGACGCGCGACGGTGGTCTGGGCCAGCACGTGGCCCTTGGAAGAATCCAAAAATCCCCTCCAAGGTCTTACTCGGGCCACGACAACCGATGATGGGCAGGCTGCCCGCGTCGGTCCAAAACTGCAGGCATCTCAAACGCCCAGCCTGCCCCCCGCCAAGAAATGCCAAGCGGCGCCAGTCGCCCGACCGAAGGCACCCAAGTCTCAGACCCTGCTGGGGCCCATCGAACTTCTCGACGGGAAAAACGCGCAAAACGTTGGCCAACACGGTGGCCGCGAAACAGAACTAGTCATTTCGTTCGCTAACTTCTTGACAGTGAGCTTCGGAAGCTCGAGGATGGAGGAGGAGGGCTTGCTCGGCTAAGGACTCGGCCGCCTGACTGCCTGTACCAATCCTCCTCTCGGACCACGGGGGGCCACCAATAACCTCCTGGGACCTGCGGGCAGGGGCGGGACACGCATTGCGCTGGTGGCCATTCGTTTTCGTACAGAGACGCCCCCCGACGCATTCCAGCATAACGGTGTTTCCTGGATATCTGATGAGTCAACGCGGCGTTACACAGCTCAGTGACGGCGGCGCAGCAGGAATAGCGGTTTCCACTATACTCGACAAACAGCGGAAGAACGGCCATGGCCTGGCGCCCAGCGGCCTGCGGCGACTGCTGCAACACGTCCCACGCCGCTCCTTAAGCGTAGACCACACTGTTGCCTGCGGTATCTAAGAACACACAGGCATACGCAGCTCTACTCAAATCCAAAATAATACACCCAGAGCAGGACCCAGAGAGTCCCAGAGAGTCCCAGAGAATGGCCTGGCCCCGGGAACCAAACAAAGAAGGGTTTGGGTTAGAATTCGGGGGGGGGGCAGAGTTGGCCCCGGGTGGCCTCATTGGAGTTCGTCCCAGAAGCAGTGGTCCTCGCTCTCAACCGCCTCCCGTAGCCATTTGGGGCGGCCAGCTGCGACATCATCCCGAGCCTGCACAGCTTCTGGATGAGGGCAGCCCCACGCCCGATGCCTGACTCCACCAGGGGCTCCGCACAACGGACACCTGCCATCGCACTCATGGCCTGCAGCTCGTGCTTTGGCGCGCGCCCACACGCCACCGCAAAAGGCCGTCGCGCCATTTCCCGAGGACGCGTCTTTCTAGCGCAAGGACCGAATGGCCGAACCAGCGGCTCCGCGCACACCGGCGCCCCATCGAAGGACCGACTGGGCTCCGGGAGAACTTTTTCATGATGTATCTGGGCATCTAACTGCACGAGCTGGGCCGCGAGCGCAGGGGGCCATGCCCGAGGCGAGCCACCCGCTCGCGGTCATCGATCCAGGAGAAAGCACAAGAGCTTTGCCAGCAAATCCGATTCAAGGAAAGGCGCCTTCTCTGGATGGGCCCCAGCGAACTCATCCAAAACAACCCTTCCGCATTCCACATTTGGCAAAGATCCATCACGTTACAAGAAGAGGCGGAAGGGCAAGCAAGAGCGGTCCAAACAATCTGCGAACATTGCAACGCAGGGGCCACACCAGCTTTCCAGACGGGGCCCCCGCACAGGGCCAATTTGACACGAGAAGAGATACCCATGCGGTGGGGGATGAACTGACTTAACTCTCTGGGCATCCCGAATTTCTGTATCATTCATCCAGACGATAGCAGCACCAAACGTAGCAGCGGGGGCCACGCCAGCCACATAAATCTTGCCGATGCGACCTTTCTGGCGGGGCAAACGACCGCGGTACCTTCTCAAAACCATGTGCCTCGCACGCATACGCTTGAAACGCTGCTTTCGTTGCAGGAGGGCATCGCGCGCACGCCGTGTTCGCCCCGCCGCCAGATTCGTTCCTAACACCACCACGCCGTGGGTGACCGCGCCCGCCATGCCGCCGAGCAGCTTGCCAAGCCTGCGAGCGAGAGGGCAGGAACTCGCGACGGTCGTGAGCTTGTCAGCTTGCAGCTGAACGTGCAAGCGATCGCGAAAGATGATGAAGGTAGCCGCCGCAGCTTTGGTCATCATGTCCAGCACCTCCTGTTCGCCGCCCCCCCCCCGTCGTGAAGGAGGCCATCCTCAACGTACGAGCTCCACGGGACGAGCGGGTGTAGACCCTAACAAACAAATCGTTGAAGATGCCGCCGCCGCAGCTTTGGCCATCATGTCCAGCACCTCCTGCTCGCCGCCCCCCCCCGTCGTGAAGGAGGCATCATCAGCGTACGAGCTCCACGGGACGAGCGGGTGTAGACCCTAACAAACAAATCGTTGAAGATGCCGCCGCCGCAGCTTTGGCCATCATGTCCGGCACCTCCTGCTCGCCGCCCCCCTCCGTCGTGAAGGAGGCCAGCCTCAGCGTACGAGCTCCACGGGACGAGCGGGTGTAGACCCGCACAAACAAATCGTTGAAGATGCCGCCGCCGCCGCAGCTTTGGCCATCGTGTCCAGCACCTCCTGCTCGCCGCCCCCCCCGTCGTGAACGAGGCATCATCAGCGTACGAGCTCAACCAGACGAGCGGGTGTACACCCTGCGAAATGCTTAAGAAATCATGGGTTAAGAAATTCATGGTCTCAGAACTTGAATTAAAGCCCAACATGTCTATTCAAATCTTAGGATTTACATTGAAACATTAAGAATAATCGAGACTTTGGTCGAAAAGTTAAGTGTTCTTAAGCATCGCCTAAGGTGTAGACCCGCACAAACAAATCGTTGAAGCTACCGCCCGCTGGGAGCCCCGACCGCGCGAATACAGGAGTGGCCCCACACTGGGCTCCTGAACGTTAGGTTTACACCTTAGGCGATGCTTAAGAAAACCTAAGTTTTCGTCCAGAGTCTCGATTATTCTTAATTTTTCAACGTAAATCCCAAGATTTTAAGCCTGGCCTCTCCAAAATTGTGAATGGTTGAAACAATCGCGATATTAAGACCATGGGCCTGGGCACGCGTTTTCAACAGCTCCAAATCAAACTTGTCGTAACAGTTTGTGCCGCCCCATATCACACCGCACATGAGTTTGTCCGTGTGGGCTGAAACCTCCGCCCTGGCCGCCTGATGCCACACAGCATCCTCAGCACTGCGTCCATGTCCGAAGGCCCAAAAACGCCTCGGATAGTCCTCACTGAAACGCAAGGGGAGAGGCATACGTAGGCGCTCCCAAACACGGACAGGTCCAGCACACAACAGGATGGGTCTTAATCCCCCTGGGGGTTTCTCAAGGAGGGGGAACAACATCCAGAAAAGCTGTTTAGGGAACGGACCTAAACTCTCGACAGGCTGTTACAGAACCCCCCAAATGTTAAGAGCCTCGTCCGACACAAGCGAGACTTGTCTGGGGTGGATTCCGTCCATAGACTGAGAAGTGAGGGGGGAAGTCATCACTGGCACTGCAAATCTCCTGAGCCGAGGCTCTCGGCAAGTGCGCACGGTCGGGAACCTCCACTGGCGCAAGCCTCGATGAGACATGCCAAAAACGGGAAAGCGTCTCACCCTCGGCCTTAAGCAAAGCGTGAGGGTCACTGCAAAACTGACCATGGGAGGAGTCGACAACCGTGGGGACCGATGTTTGCTTCAATTTCGTGAGCCTGCGCATCGCCCGAAAACTCCCTGTAAGTGCCTTCTCCTGACATTCGTCCCAAGAGTCCTGAGTGGCCTTCCAGAGGCCTTTTTGGGCGTCGGTGCGGTCCTCCTCCCAGGCCTCGTGGACCTCCTGCACGTCTCGCACACAGTCCTCGAGCGAAGACGGTGGCCACATGCGCATGAGCGTCTTGGCCTGGGCAATCGTAGCATCGAGCCGTGCCGCCATGCCCTCGCCAGGGCATGGCTGGGTCAAAATCTGCTGAATCTGATGACAGGCGTCGTGAGCAAGAGTCTCGCCACTGCTAGGATCCATCACGGGGCTCAAAGCCGCGGTCAGGAGACGCGTAGCAACTCCAACCGTCTCCAAAACATGCTGCGACAGCCAAACCCACCCCTGGTTGACCAGCACCGTGCAAGTACTTCTGGGGGTAGAGACAATCGGGACCCACGTGGCTTTCGGCGGCTCTCCCCGACAGGAGAAGTAAGAAAAGAGGAACGAGGAGGACAAGAAGGAGGAGGAGGAGGAGGAGGAGGATGAGGAGGAGGAGGCCGACGACGACGACAACGACGACGGCGACGACGGCGACGACGGCGACGACGACGACGACGACGACGGCGTCGACGGCGTCGACGACGACGACGACGACGACGTCGACGACGACGGCATCGACAACGACGCGGTGCACGGGGCGCTCCTTCGCCTCGGCGTGGGACGAGAAGCGCACGAGGGCGGCGCCCTGGCGGGGGGGGGGGGCGCGCCGCCCGTCAGCGCCCGCTCGGGCGGCCGCTCTGCCGCCAAGAGCAGTCTCGGGGGGCCGTTCTAAGTCCGACGTGTCCGTGTGTCCGTCCGCGTCCGCGTCCTCCTCCTCCTTCTTTCCTTTCCTTTTCCTTCCTCCTCCTCTCCTCCTCCTCCTCCTCCTCCTCCTCCTCCTCCTCCTCCCTCCTCCCCTCCTCCTCCTCCTCCTCCTCCTCCTCCTCCTCCTCCTCCTCCTCCCCCCCTCTTGCGGAGCCCCCGCCAGAATAAGGGGAGATGGGGCCCCACGTAGAGCCTCCCGCGGGGGACGCGGCCCGCAAGGGACGGGGACGAGGAAAGGTCTGCACCGCGTGCGGTCGCCAAGGGGCCTCTCGCCGAAGGCAGGCTGCTGCGTGCGGCGAGAGGTCCCCTCTGACTAGCGCATGCCCTGCGTGAGGGAGAAGGGCCCCCCGTCGAGCCTCACGAGGGGGGCGCAACCCGCCAGGTTGGGGTGCACCGCGTGAGGTCGCCAAGGAGCTGCGCGCGCAGGAAGTCCAGCGGCTGCTGTCGGCGGCGAGCCCGGGGGGAAGTGAGAAGGAGAAGGCCTCCTCACCAGGCTCGGAAGCCCACTGGTCGTCCGAGAAGCTTTCCTAGCCTTCCCCGAAGACACAGAAAACCTATCAGAGGGCGCGAGGACTTCTGAGAAGTCCCGCCGCCCACTGAGAAGGCCTTCACCTTCTCACTTCCCCTCCTCGCTCGCCGCCGAGACGAAGGTGAGGTGGAGGTGAAGGTGGAGGAGGGGGAGGAGGAGGAGGAGGAGGAGGAGGAGGAGGAGGAGGAGGAGGAGGAGGAGGAGGAGGGCGAGGAGGAGGAATGTGAGGAGGAGGAGGAGGAGGAGGAGGAGGAGGTGGGCCCCCTGGCCCAGCTAGGAAGGCGTTTAAGCCGACCCTGTGCCAAAGGCTGGCCTGGCCAGGGGACAGGGCACAGGTGGAGAGTTGGCGCCCCTCGACTCGTGCAACGACTGCGCTTCGCACGTGCGTGGTCCGTCTCTTCCGCGCTCGCGGGATGCCAAAGCCCTGCCGCATACGTACGCAGTGGGTACTGCCTGGCGGCCCCAGCCTCGCGTGAACCCGCGGGAGCCACCAGCATCGAGTCGACAAGTCGGTTGTTGTGGCCGCAGTGGACGCGGACCTTGCTGGTTTGCTGGTGCGCCTCGATGCAAGCAGCCCCGCTCTTGTACACGGTGAGGAGGCGGCCCTCCTCGGAACAGCTTTGGCCAGCCGCTTGAGGCCACACGAGCATGCCTCGATGTCGACGTCCTCGGCCTGCTCAGCGTCGAACCGCTTCGAGTTGACAGTCTGGAGGCTCCGCACCCGCGCCAGGACACGCAGTGCGTGGGCAGCACGCTTGCCTTTGGAACGTGCACCAAGTCGAGCCGCGTCGTCTCAAGATCAAAATCGAATCGGATCGGCCGCGCCACGATGCACAGCTGCGCCGTGCAGGCATCAGACTGCACAGCGACGACGACGACGACGACGACGACGACGACGACGACGACGAACGACGACGGCGGCGGCGGCGGCGGCGACGGCGGCGGCGACGGCGACGGCGGCGTCGTCGACGACGACGGCGGTGGCGAAGGAGGTGGCTTCGACGGCGGCGGCGGCGGCGACGGCGGCGTCGACGACGACGACGACGGCGGCGAAGGCGGCGGCGGCGGCGGCGGCGGCGGCGGCGGCGGCGGCGGCGGCGGCGGCGGCGGCGGCGGCGGCGACGACGACGACGACGACGACGACGACGACGACGACGACGACGACGACGACGACGACGACGACGACGATGCGCGCACGGCCTTCTCGCCCTGCGTCCTCGGCGGTAGCACCTTGACGTCCACGACACTGCCGTACTGCCCGAACAGGGCCCTCACGGCGTTGTCGTCAAAATGCTGCGGTATGTCGCCGACGAAGATCCGCCGGGCCCCGGCCCCGAGGGGGCCCGCTCGGAGTTGGACGATGGAGGTCCGAGGGCCGATGTGCTCGCGTGGTTTTCGCCACGCTGTGGTCGGGGGCGTCGAGCACGGGGCGTCCAAGTGGGGGATTCGCAACTCACTGCGCGCGGACGAAAGGGGGGGAGGGCTGGGGGACGTGTTGACAGAGAGTGAGGGGGGTCATGGAATCCGGGGAGAGATATCGTGGTTCCAGCCACGACGTCCACCACACCCCCCTAGCCATCCCCCTTCTCTTGGTGGCCCCCAAACCAGGTGGTGAGACACCCGGTGGTGACCTGAAATCCCAAAAACGTAATTTCTAGGTTTGGAGACACAGGGTCACCACCGGGTTTCGTGATTCCCGGGATCGAGACATCCTCGAAACACCACCCGAGTTCCAAAACCCGGTGGTGACACCAATTCGCCCCAGACTCACCACCGGGTGTTCTCACCACCACGTTTGGGGACCCCCGATTCTCCTGGCAACCCCCGATCTGAGCCTCCGGGAGGCTTGCCGTCGCCACGGCTGCACGCAGCTCCAGGCGCTGGCCGGAGCGCCCCCTGGCAGCGGTCGGGGGTCGACGCCGAGGCGCGGGGCCCAGGCCTCCTGACTACCTACCAGACCACCCCAACCCAACCCGAAGACCCGAATTTGACCCGAATTTCGGGCTGGGGGGGGTACGGGCTCCATGTGTTTTTTCGATGTTCCCCGACCCCCCCCCCACTGGAAATCGATGGCAAATTGGGGCCTTCGGGTTGGGTTGGGGTGGTTTGGTGGGTGGTGACCTCCAGCGTCTTGAAAAGACACGGCGGCAGGTCCTTCCAGGTGCTCGGCCCCCGAGGGACCCCTGCGGGGCGCCGGGCCCATGAAGATACTGCTGCCACGAGGAACGCTACTCCAGATTTCGTAATAAAGGGAGGGGGGTCTCATTTCGGGGGGGGGGTCTCTTCCAGGCTGTCTTGGAGGGCCTGGTGGGTCTGGGGACGATGTTTTGGAGGGTTCTCCCACGGGGGAGGTCTGAAATGGCTTGCCTTGGAGGGTCCAGACCCCCTTCCTTTAATTACGAAATCTGGAGTACACCACGCGAAATGGTTAAGAAATCATGGGTTAAGAAATTCATGGTCTCAGAACTTGAATAAAAACCCAACATGTCTATCAAAATCTTAGGATTTACATTGAAACGTTAAGAATAATCGAGACTCTGGCCGAAAACTTAGGTTTTCTTAAGCATCGCCTAAGGTGTACGTAAGGAACGCAGCCGCTCGCTCGGCCCCCGAAGCGCCTCGGTGCACGGGGGGCGACAGGGGAACAACCACGACAGGACCCAAGATGCAGCGAGCCGCCTCCCTCCTCCTCCTCCTCCTCCTCCTCCTCCTCCTCCTCCTCCTCCTCCTCTCCTCCTCCTCCTCCTCCTCCTCCTCCTCCTCCTCCTCCTCCTCCTCCTCCTCCCTCCTCCTCCTCCTCCTCCTCCTCCCCCTCCTCCTCCTCCTCCTCCTCCTCCTCCTCCTCCCCTCCCTCCTCCTCCTCCTCCTCCTCCCTCCTCCTCCTCCTCCTCCTCCTCCTCCTCCTCCTCCTCCCCCTCCTCCTCCTCCTCCGCCCCGTCGCCGCTGGTCTGGCTGCCCCGGCCCGCGCTGCCTCTGGCCCCGAGGGGCGGGCGACGTGAGATTCGCTCCGCCCCGAGCGGCGGGGCACTCCAGTCCCGAAGGTCTTCGAGCACTGCGGAATAGAGCCTACCACTTCCGAGCCCGAGCTGCTCCTATTCTCAGCGTCCTAACTGCACGACTCGCGGCGAAAGAAACAGCCCTGGAGGAGCCAGGGCTTCGGCGCCTGCGCCGCGCGAGAACCACCAAGTCGGAAGTCTGGAGGCGCGGCTTGCCGATGCTGCCCCCGAGCCATCAGAGCGCCGAGGCTGCCCCCGAGGCCCCCCCCCCGAGCCCTCCGACTTCCTCCGAGGTGCAAGATGACCCGAAAAGAGCCCAAGATGGCCTCATGATGCCTCCAAGATGGTCGAATCCCCTCAATTGTCGGCCGGGTGCGAATCGTTCGTCCTCCCAATTTCTGTTCAGCGGGGAGCCATTGAGTCGTTCGGTCCATGCAGTTTCTGGTCGGAGGTGAGTCGTCCGGTCCCCTGAATTTTCGGTAACTCGTTCGCCCCCCCTCGAAAACGGCCCCGACCAGCAAGAGTGAGTCTGGGTATGAGTGAATCTGACTATGTGCGACTGAGAGTGGGTGAGTTCGGTTGTGGGTAGATCTGACTGCGAGTGAGTCTGAGTGTGAGTCTGGGTGTGACTGGCTTGGAGGGCTCCTTAGGGGGGGTCGAAGTCGACCCCCGCCCCCCCCTCCTGTGATCGATACTCTCCAAGATAGCCCTAAGAACCCCTGCAGGGCCCCCAGGAGTCTCCCCAAGGCGCCCCAAGAGGACCCCAAGAGGATCCCAAGACACAAGCCAACCCAAAAGACCAGAGGATCCCAGGACTTTCCAAAAAGCCCTAAGAGGGCCTCAGAAGGACCCCGACAGAGCCCCATGAGGACCCCAGGAGAGCCCCAAAGAAGACCCCACGATGGCTCCAAGAGTCTTCGTCGTCGTCGTCGTCGTCATCCTCGTCCTCCTCGTCCTCGCCCTCCTCCTCCTCTTCCTCCTCGACTTCCTCCTCGCGGTCCCCAAGAGCCCCAAGAAGACCGCAAGTGCGCACCCACAGTACACAAATCTGGCTCCAAGAACCCTCGTCGTCGTCGCCGTCATCCTCCTCATGATCATCCTCCTCGTCCTCACCGTCCTAGGCCCTGCTCCTCGTTCTCGCCGTCCTTCTCATCATCGTCTTCGTACTCGTCATCCTCCTCCTCCTCCTCTTCGTCGTCGCCCTCGTCCTTCTCCTCGTCTTCCTGATGACCCTCCTCTTCCTCATCTTTGTCCTCATCCCCATCCTCTTGGTCCTTGTCCTCGTCATCCTCCACCACCTCCCCGTCCTCGTTCTCCTCCTCCCCCTTGTCCTCGTCGTCCTCAGTCCCTTCCGCCTCCTCCTCGTCCTCGTCTTCCTCTTCGCCCTCGCCCACCTAATCTTCGTCGTCGTCCTCGTCCGCCCCAGCCACTTTCTCCTCCGATTCATCGTCTTCGCCCTCGTCGTCCTCCTCCTCGCCAATCTCCACCTCTTCGTCCATATCCCCGTCCTCCTCCTCCTCCTCCTCCTCCTCCTCCTCCTCCTCCTCCTCCTCCTCCTCATGTCGTCCTCATGGTCCTCTTCGTCCTCATGTCGTCCTCATGTCGTCCTCATGCTCCTCAGGACAAGGTCCCCCTCGTCGTCATCGTCCTCCTTGTTCTCGTGCGCATTCTCGACCTCCTCCTTCTCGTGTTCGTATTCGTCCTCGTCTCCGTCCTCGTCCGTGTCCTCGTGCTCCTCGTCCTCATCCTCGTGGCCGTCCTCGTCCTCGCCCTCCTCGTCTTCGCCCAAATCCAACGGAGGCCCCCAGGGAGCCAAAAACGCTCTGAGCACTGAGCCACGAAAGAGCGAAACTCCATGGACTTCTTTGGGGTCGGCGGCAGAGGCGGCAGCCGTAGGGTATGAGGAGGAGGAGAAGGACGACGACGACGACGACGACGACGACGACGACGACGACGACGACGACGACGAGAAGAAGAACGAGGGGAACGAGGATGGAGGCGGGGGGAGGAGCGAGGGAGGGAGAAGGATAACGAGGAGGACGAGGATGGAGCAGCAGCAGCAGCAGCAGCAGCAGCAGCAGCAGCAGCAGAGAGCAGCAGGACCAGCCGCAGCAGTGACGAGCAAGCAGGCGACCCCGCGAGTCGTTTCTGGGGCGGGAACGGCGGAGGCCCCCCTTGGATCTTGTCGGACGCGCCGGGCGCTCCACCTGAGCGGGCGCCACTGCACCTGCACATCTCGACCGGATCCCTCCTCTGCCCGAGAAGTCCCCTGCACCTGCACATCTAGATCCTCCTGCCCCTCCCCGCCCCTCTTCCTCACCCCTCCGATTTCTGCTCCGAATCTTCTGCTGCCCCTCCTCTGCTGCCCATCCTCATCCCCTCCCCTCCTTCCCCCTCCTCCTCCTCCTCCTCCTCCTCCTCCTCCTCTTCCTCTGCTGATCATCGTTATCAGCATCCTCGTCCTCATCAGCATCCTCGTCCTCATCACCATCATGTTCGTTATCATCAGCGCCATCATCATCGGCGGACCCAACAGCTACCCTCAACACCCAACAGAAGTAGCATCGTCATCATCTTCCTCGTCCTCATGATCACCACCACCACCGTCATTATCATCATCATCATCAGCATCATCATCATCATCATCATCATCATCATCACCACCACCACCACCACCATCATCATCATCATCATCAGCATCAGCATCATCCTCATCAGCATCAACATCATCATCGTCATCATCAGCAACAGCATCATCATCGTCGTCATCATCATCCTGATCATCATCCCGATTACCATCATCATCATAATCATCAGCATCTGCGTCATCATCATCATCATCATCATCATCATCATCATCATCATCATCATCGCCGTCGTCGTCGTCGTCGTCGGCGTCGTCATCAGCATCATCATCAGCATCATCAGCAGCAGCATCAGTATCGTCATCGTCGTCATTAACATCGTCATCATCATCGTCGTCATCATCATCAGCATCATCATCAGCATCAGCATCATCATCATCATCATAATCATTATGATAATCATAACCACCGTGGTCGACGACATCATCATCGTCATCATCGCTCGTCTTCATCGTCATTATCATTATCATCATCATCATCAGCAGCATCATCATCATCGTCGTCGTAGTCGTCGTCATCATCATCACCAGCATCATCATCGTCGTCACTCGTCATCATCCTTATCATCTTCAACAGCATCATCATCATCATGATCAGCATCAGCATCATCAGAATCAGCATCAGCATCGGCATTATCATCAGAATCATCATCATCATCAGCAACAGCATCATCAGCATCCTCATCATAATCAGCATCAGCATCATCATCATCAGCATCAGCATCAGCATCATCTACAAAAAAAAACTACAACAACAACTACAATACTATCGTCGTTATCATCCTCATCATCACCATCAGCAAAGGCAGCATCACATCATCATCATCATCATCATCATCATCATCAACATCATCATCATCATCATCATCATCATCATCATCATCATCATCATCATCATCATCATCATCATCATCACATGTTTGATGGTCCTTGGGCGATGATAGGCCACTGCAGCCGAAATCGAGGAGACGCGGGCATGAAAAACAGTTGTGTCGGAGATCTGGGTCCCCCCTCCTCATCTCCCCCTGTCGCGAGCGCGAGTGGGTCTGAGTACGAGTGGGTCTGAGAGCGAGCGAGTCTGAGGAAGGGGGGGAAGAAGGGGAAGGAGGGGAGGAGGGGAAGGAGGGGAGGAACGGAAAGGGGAAGGAGGAAGAGGAGGAAGGGGAAGGAGGGGACAGGAGGAAGGGAAGGGAGGGGAGAGGAAGGGGAAGGAGGGAGAGGAAGGGGAAAGAGGCAAGGAGTTAGAGGCGTCTCAATAATGACCAGAACCTCATGTCCAGATATGGGGTACACAATTGCTCCTGTCGGGGGCGCCCAGGAGGGGGGCGTCCAGGAGGGGGTCACAAATCATGACCAGAGGCATGTGCGCGGACGAGTGGGGGAGCCAGGGGACGTCTTCGATCGGCGGCGAGCGAGGGGGGAAGTGAGGAGGAAAAGTCCTTCTCAGAAGGCGGCGGGGTTACTCAGAAGCCCTCCGGCCTTCTGAAAGGCGTTCTGCATCTTTGGGGAAGGCTTCAAAAATTCTCAGAAGGCCAGGGGATTTCTGAACCTTCTGAGAAGCCCGCCCCTTGTCATGTCCCCCCTGGAACCCGCCGCATACGCGAATATGAAGAGGGGACCATGAAATCGAAGGAGACACCATGGCCCCAGACCTGATATCCACACCCCCTCTGGTCATTTCACTCACACTCACACCCTTCTTGGCTTTCCCCGCTCCTCCCCCCCTCCCCCCCTGAAGGCCCGATCCCTCAGGGCCCCACCGTTGCCGATCCCCCATCCCACGCCAACCGTTGCCTCCGCCCCTCCTCCCCTCCCCCCTCTGAGGTCCCGATCCCTCAGGGCCCCAACGTTGGCTATCCCCCTCTACTGTTGCCCACGCTCCTCCTCCCCAGACATGCGACGTCCTGATGTTTTTAATACGGCGTCCCCCGAAATCCCGACCCTTTCCCCAGGAACCGGCTTCTCATCCCGAGTCTTCCTTGACAGTCCAGAGGCCCAGCGAGGGCCCCCGGGGGCCGAAAACAGCGGAAAAAAACTCCCGCCCTCGTTTTTTCCGACGCGATGGTGTCTGGGTCCCCTCCCCCCCTCGCCGGGGGCCACCGCAGCCGCCGTAGGGGCCACCACCGTCGTGGCGCGCGGGGCCGAACCTGCCGAGGGGGGGGGCGGGGCTCGGCCAGCCGCGCGCCGCGGCCGTGCCTCGAGAGGCGCGGCGCCCCGTCCTACTGCTCCTGGTGTTCATGCTATTCCTCCTCCCCATCCTGCTCCTCCTGCTCCTCCTGCTCCCCCTGCTTCCGCTCCTGCTCCTGCTCCTGCTCCTGCTCCTGCTCCTGCTCCTGCTCCTGCTCTTGCTCTTCCTCCCTCTCCTCCTCCTCCTCCTCCTGCTATTCCTCCTCCTCCTCTTCCTCTTCCTCCTTTTCTAGATTTTCAGGAATACGAATACGATTTCTATGTTTATTGCTAATAGCAGTAGTATTGGCATTCGAATG